ACGTTCCGACACATAGTATTAGGGGATCGGAGTGTCAGGTTCCGACACGATAGTAATAAAGAGGTTGAATCTTGAATTACATAATATACTCAAATTCAAAGAACCTATTTCCCAAATAAGTATGGTGTGGAGGCTTGAGTCCTCATGGGTGTGTTTGGTGTTGTTGCCAATGATTCTTGTACTTGTTGTTGTCACCAGTTAAGTGTGGTAGTTGATTTTATATTATTATTCGATATATATTGCTTTCTATTTTGAGTTGTCCGATACTACCTACTCAGTACGTGTTCCTTCTATTGGCCCCTACTTGTATTTTGTCTCTTTATTATTTGTGTAGTGCAGCAAACGTGTCATCGACTTCGACTCGTCCGCAACTCTAGCCAGTCTCCAGCATATCAGAATTCAGGGTGAGCTATTCATTCATGCTCGTGTTGGATTCTTTCGTTCATGACATGATGTTCTATACTTTCGGACACATACCATTTTGTTCATTTATTTTGGTGTCTTTGATACTCTTAGACATAGTAATTAGAGATTAGATGTCCTTGTTGTGATGACTTTTAGGTTTTGGAAAACGATAGTTAATAAATTTTGGAGCTTCCGCAATATTTTGTTATTCACAGTTGAATTATTGGTACATGTTGGAATTTGAATTTCTTGGTTCTTCCAGCTAGGTAGTTAAGTGTGGGTGCCACTCGCGGCTCATTTTGGGTCGTGACAAACTTGGTATCAGAGCATTAGGTTCGTTGATCTCATCACACAAGGACAAGTCTAGTAGAGTCTTGTGGAACGGTAAGGGGACGCCTTTACTTTTCTTCGAGAAGCTATAGGACTTTAGGAAAGCTCATTTCTTTCTTTCTTTCGTGCTACTACTTGAATCCAAATTGTATCTTGGTGATACAAATTGGTATCTGAACTTCTTCACTCTATTTCAAATATGGGTACTACTAGAGTATTTGAAGTTGAAATAGCAACAACGGAAAGAAAAAAAATATGTCCTTAGAAATAGATATATTTTCTCGATCGCAAAATGTGGTGGTAGTCTCATGTCGAGTGTCGGTTAATAAAGACACTACTATGACTTCATCGAGTAAGGGTATATTAGAGATAGTCATCGATGCTTACTTGGTTAGAGTTAGGAAGTGTGTTATTTTTTGTTATTGAATTGATCTAAGAAGTAAAACAAATTTTTTGGTCTAGAGAGAGAACATATTTGATAATGTTTTGCAATTATTCAATGGTTAGAAATATGTGGGCTATTTGGGTACGATAATAGGTACAGGTATGATGTGTTCTAGTGAGGTATCTAATGGACTTTCACGGTGTGGCAGTACTAGGGTTATGTGGAAACAGGTACGTCGATTGCCATGTATGAATACTAATTACTAAAGGAGTTACTAGTTGTATGACATGGTCAGATAATAAGATTTAGTGTTGCATTCACATCTGAGAAACCAACTAGTTTATTACTACAAGAACTTAGATTGAGCATTATTTTGAAGGAAAATTTTAGTGGTTGAGCATTATTTTAGAGGAAAATTTTAGTGGTGGATCTTTGGTACAATATTAATACTTTTAGGTTGTGAAATGTATCTTGAGGGTTCTGAACGAGTACTGACGATTTATTCTTACGCTTCAAAAGGTAGATTGTTACTAAAATGACAAACTTATAGGGAAAAGAAAGTCCTAGTGGATAAACTTGGGTGAAGTAAATCGAAGATTTAGCAACAAAGTGCATATAAATTGGGTTAGTCCCTTGAATTTGATTGGTATACCAAAGTTTAAGGTGTTAGATCGAGGAAAAGGTTCACTTCATGGTGATAAAAGGGTGGACTGAGCATGATGGAAAATAAAAATTTGTGAGAATTTGGAATTGGGATGAAAGTATATGATTAGAATTTGTTGGTTAAATAAATTTTGTATGTAATAAAGACTTGTGAGTATCTAAGGTTGTGATTTTCTACTATTTTGTGAAGTAAAATGTCATGGGTTGTTGGTAAAAGGACGAGATCGATGAGTGATCTAAAGAAACAAGAATATTGATATATTGAAGGGAGAATTTTGCACCATGAGAAGAATTTGAGAAAAGTGAAGGAATAAGACCTCTCGTATAAACCCATGGGTTGTAGTTAATGGTTGTATTGATTTTTGCATATGATTTTAGATATGACTGTGAAATGTGAAGTAGTTCGATATAGACTTACTAGAATTTATCATCGACTTTTATAAAGATTGAGTTTTGATTTGGATTGCAAACAATGAGGCATGAAGAATTTAGTATTTTACATGGGGTAGATTGCTCAAATTTGGATAGATGACTTAAGAATGATGCATAAGGTGTAATATAATTCTACATGGTTATTAAGAATTTAGAGTTGGAATAATACTACTCTATTGATGTGATTACATAGAATATTATGATGTGTTACATAGATATTTAATGGTGAAATGAGGTTATGAGCTAATAGGATACATAATAATTTGAATGACCAAGAAATTTCCTATGTGTTGACATGAGGTATGTGATGGTTTAGAAGGGTAGCTAAAGCATGATATGTGAAAGTGGTGTGAGGTTGACTTAAGGTTTGATTTAATAGTTTATCATGATGGAAAGGTACTATCAAATTTTAAATAATGTTAGTAGCCTTGTTTGGAACTCGTAATTGTCATGAAATGCTTAAATAGAAGATAATGATGGTGGTTTGGGAGTAAGGTAGATGATCGATGTGGTTATGATGCTTTGTTAGTACTAAAAGTGTCGACTTCAGTGGATGTAGGGTTCGATAAAATAAGTATGTGTGCAATCAGTGATTGTGGATAGCTAGAAAATCAAAGAGATAGAGTCAGATGAATGAACAACTACTTCATTTCGGGTATGATTTAGAGTATGATTCGTTTTCTACGTCCTCACGTGTTTTCACATCTATGGGTTGATTTCTAGTGGTGAATCGGATGTAAAGATCCTCTTGTGTCCTCTTGATAGGGTAGGATCGTTGGGCAAACTTGACATTTTTAGTTATTATAGAATTGCTGTTGTTTGGAATAGCTAAAATATATCAATAGTTCTATACGCACAAACTCGCTTATGAGAATCTATATAAGACATGCTATGAAGAGTTACAATTGCCTAAGAGTAATGTTAGAGGTTCTGCATTTTGAAGTGTATCCCTTGTTGGTGTTTACTTGATATCATTCTTCTCTGGGTTAGATATGTCTCCCTTGATGAGTAATTGATGTCTAAAGCTAATATTTTCATCACTTAAGGTTGTGATGAGATTGTGTTGTGAAAAGAAAATCCTGATAAGATCTGTGATAGTTTGTGCATTATGAGTGTGTGGTAGTTGGTTAAAATCCACTTCTGGTTGTAGCCACTTTTGCTTTAAAATTTTATCGTGGTTATGTTAGATAATATTTGTTCAGATGGTTGTGTCAAGGTCTAGTTGGATAATAGATCAGTTAAAAAGTCCATTATTAGAAATTGTTTTGTTGTTAGTTGAGTTTACATACATCAATAATTATTCCTAGAGTAGTCAGATGGACCCATTTAAGGCATTGTTGTGATGAGGTGTAGATCTTCAATTAATTGGTTTAACACTTTTGATATAAGACCAAGGGTACTACTATTTCGCAATGAACTTTTGAGACAACTACCCTTTCTTGCCTTGCCTTTCTTTGATCGTTCGAGGACGAACGGTGGGTAAATTGGTATTTATTGTAAGGAACCTTTTGATCGTTTTGAGTTGAAGCCTTGTGTTTATAAAATATCTTTCGTTAGATTCTTAATGGGTATTTTGAACTATTTCATAATTATAACTATGAAATTAATGGGGTAGTTTTACTAATTTATTTAGTTAGTGGTTAGGAAAATAAAATTAAAATAAATAATGAGTCACTTTTATCAAATTGGATAGTTAATTATATGATAATTAGGGTAGAAGTTTGTCTTTAGAAAAAGGAAGAAAATAAGAAAAGGGAGACTGCAGAGCAGCCTCCAAGAGGGACGACAATTTCAGGTAAGAAATTAATCTTCGTATATTTTATATGTATGAACATAGATTGTAGGATTAAGAATTTAATAATGGCAATGACATTAGCCGTATAGGACGAGTTTTTAAGGGGCAATTACATTATTATATTATATTATAAAGTAGCCGTATAGGACGAGTTTTCAAGGGAACAATTACAGTATTATATTATGTTATCAAGTTAAAGGGTGCATATGTATAGAATATTATTAAAGGCTATTGAAATCATAGTGAGGTGAGGAGTAAAATATTATTATAATTTAATTAATTGGAGAGAATGGAAGTTCCAGTATGGTTGTATGCCTCCTAGTTAACAGTTATTAATTAATTATGGTTGTATGGAATTGCACATATTAGTGCAATTTGTTATTCAATTAAGGCAATTATGAGTGAATTATTAGAAGGAGTAATGTACTGGTAATTTCATGTTGGTATGCAGGAAGTGGATTGCATAATGTAGGAAGATTTTAATGTTCCTTAGATTATTATAAATATAATTATTATTGTTATTATATGTGGGCATAGCAATATATACTTATTTAACTACTATATATTTTAATAATAATTAAAATACTAAATAATTTGGTGTTAAAGTAGTGGAAAATTGGATGCACTGAGTTCTGTAAATCTGATGTATGCATATGCTATAATTTGCATATGATATAGTTGAGTTGTTGTTGGTTCGTAGCCACTGGTACTGTGACCATTGGCATTCATTTTTACATATTTATATCGTGTTCTTACCTTATAAACTTTTTTTTTTATATTGAGATAGGTAGATAAGTATTAGGTGTATTGAATTATTTAAATTTCATTAAAGTTATGCTAAATGCGGGAAATTAAATTTACTTTTTCGTTTGAACTTTATGAAATTATTTATAGAATTAGGTGAACTTTTGGGTCTAGACTAGATAAAGAATAATATGAGTATTCCTAGACTCGTTAACTTATAAATTATGCACACATAATTGATAGATTGGAAGGGTTCGAAGGCATCGAGGAAAGGAAAAGCATTCAAGGACTAGTTTCTTGACTTCGATTCTTCGGTGGAGGTAGGTTATGGTTTATGCTATTTCATAGTAAACTCTAAATAGCGATTGATATGTATTGGGTAGTATTGTAAAGTCTTCTATATGCTTGATTGTATGTTTGTATGTTGTGATAGTGGAATCCTAAATCTTATCCGTCTCTATTAAGATGATGCATTGTCATAAAAGAGGCTTGATGAACTAAAGCAATGAGATTAGGGGATCGGGTGTCACATTCCGACACGTAGTATTAGGGGATCGAGTGTCACGTTCCAACACGTAGCATTAGGGGATCGGGTGTCACGTTCCGACACGTAGTATTAGGTGATCGGGTGTCACATTCCGACACGTAGCATTAGGGGATCGGGTGACACGTTCTGACACGTAGTATTAGGGGATCGGGTGTCACGTTCCAACACGTAGCATTAGGGGATCGGGTGTCACGTTCCGACACGTAGTATTAGGGGATCGGAGTGTCACGTTCCAACACGATTATAATAAAGAGATTGAATCTTCAATTACGTAATATACTCAAATTCAAAGAACCTATTTCCCAAATGAGTATGGTGTGGAAGCTTGAGTCCTCATGGGTGTGTTTGGTGTTGTTGCCAATAATTCTTGTACTTGTTGTTGTCACCAGTTAAGTGTGGTAGTTGATTTTATATTATTATTCGATTTATATTGCTTTCTATTTTGAGTTGGCCGATGGCCGATGATACCTACTCAGTACGTGTTCCTTGTACTGACCCCTACTTTTATTTTGTCTCTTTGTTATTTGTGGAGTGCAGCAAATGTGTCATCGACTTCGACTTGTCCGCAACTTTAGCAAGTCTTCAGCATATCAGAATTCAGGATGAGCTATTCATTCATGCACGTGTTGGATTCTTTCGGTCATGACATGATGTCCTATACTTTCGGACACATACCATTTTATTCATTTATTTTAGTGTCTTTGATACTCTTAGACTTAGTAATTAAATATTAGATGTGCTTGTTGAGAGGACTTTCAGGTTTTGTGAAACGATAGTTAATAAATTTTGGAGATTCCGCAATATTTTGATTCTCACAGTTGAATTATTGGTACATGTTGGAATTTGAATTTCTTGGTTCGTCCACCTAGGTAGTTAAGTGTGAGTGCCACTCGCGGCTCATTTTGGGTCGTGACACCAGCAAACCTGGAAAAACAAGTCGTAGAGTAAGAGGAATTCACTGTGTTGTGTGGTAGATGTTTCAAATGAGTATACATACTAGCAATGGTCATATATGAAAAGATAAGGATAAAGATGCTGGAACATCCCTTTTATTGTGAAGAAATTCATGAGTGGCGTGCTAATATATCATCTGATGATACACATGATGTCATTCAACTTGAAAGCTAATTGTGGAATCTAGGCTTATCAAAAGTCCACAATTTTCTTTTTTTTGAGTGATGTCATGTGTATCGTCCAATCTTATATAGATGTATCTCATGAGAGCCTTCATATAAGAAGGGATGTTCCAATATATGTGCTGTTATTTTTTCATATCTCTCCTTTGTAGGTATGTACCTCCATTTGAATCATCTATCACACTGCACAACAAATTCCTTTTCATCTACCATGTTCCTTTTGAGATTAGTAGGTTTATGACCATGCATATAGTTTTAATGTATCTTTCAAGAGGGGAAACATTTTAATGATTTTGCTACATTCAACCAACTCTTAATGTAATTGACCAGCCCGAGGACATAAAATACAACTTGTATTCATTATGAAAGTTCAAAATAGTTACAAAATTAAACTCTTTACCCTATTCGATCATACATTTCAAAAAGTTTGATATGTGTAATGGTAAAAAATGAAAATTAAATGAGGAGTGCAATTTACATTATTATGGTATTATATATGTTTGTGATTTGAATAAGGCTTACATTACGCATATTCTAAAGTTTTCCCTGTTATAATTGTTAGTCTAAATTTATAATTCTTATAATTATCATCATTTTATCATTATTTTCATTAATTTTTAAAAATATATTTTTCATTCTCAACATTACTACTATTACTTATTCTTGTTTTCTTTAAAAAGATTATTGTTGCTTTATTTCAAATTTCTTTCATATGAAAATTTATATATCATATACAAGGTATTAAATTAGAATCTCAAATGAATTATTATACAGGAAAAAAATGACAAAATTCATTCAAAAGAGTTCTAAACTATTCGGTCAATTGGCCCATCTTCTTTTTTCCAAAACGCAGCTCAAAATTTGTCCTAAATTAAAGCCAAAACATAGAAGCCCTTTAGAATTAGGATATATTATATTTCTCAAAACAAAACCTCCTAAAACCTACTTCTCATCAGCCCCTACACTCCATCTCTCTCTCTCTGTCTTCTTTAAAAATATATCCACCCCTATTTTAGTATTGACAGGTCTATGCATGATTATTTTTATGCAAAAATGTATTGCTTTAATCCTCTATCTTTCGTTTTTGAACTGTCCAATCAAGAAAATATGACAATGATTATTTTTTTTGAGATTTTGTTTCTCTAATCTAAAGAATTTATTTTAAGATATTCGAACAATTTTTATTCAAAATTCAAATAGATACTTTCTATTCCCTCTCAAGGAACTCTAGCCCTAAGTTTGTCCTTCAAATACTTGAGTTTGGATTTCATTTTGGTCATGTGCTGATAAGCTCAAGTAGCATCATAAAAGTCTTAAATTTTGAATTCTTATCACTTCATCATTAAACTACTAATTTAAGGTTTTATTTCTTTATAATTCTTCATTTTGTTTTTGTTTATTTGTGTCCATAACAGAGACATTTAAATTTATTATGGTTCAAAATATGTTCTTGATGAGATAGATCCGAAGCTTTGTTGGTACTGCCTAGTTCACTGCCAAGAAAAAAGGTTAGATTTATTATGAAATATTAAATTTTTATAGAAATATATCTGAATTTAGAAGCTACGGGTTCTGTGAGAATTTAGGAGCTATGGAATCTGTTACCTAATGCTACGTTATAAACTCTTATAATATATGTATATATCGGTTCTACTTTTATTATAAACACATATAAATTTTATTGAGACATATGATTAAATAAGTTAATAGACTTTTTTATGTTGCACCTTTTTTTAATTGCCGGTGGAACTCTTTAATGAATACAAATTATATTTTTTGTCCTCGTGTTGATTTGTCAGAACAAGAGTTTGATGAATGGAGTTTTCACCCCTAGAAAGATAGATCAAAATAATATGCATGATATTAAACCTGCAAACCTACAAAAACAAGTAGTAGATTAAGAGGAATTCACTATGTTGTGTGGTAGATGTTTCAAATGAGTATACGTACCTGTAAAGGTGATATATGAAAAGATATGGATACACATGATGGAACATCCCTTTTATTGTGAAGAAACTCATGAGTGGCGTGCTAATATATCATCTGATGATACACATGATGTCATTCAACTTGAAAGCTAATTGTGGAATCTAGGCTTATCAAAAGCCCACATTGTTCTTTCATTTTGAGTGATATCATGTGTATCGTCCAATCTTCTATAGATGTATCTCATGAGAGCCTTCATATAAGAAGGGATGTTCCAATATATGTGCTGTTATTTTTTCATACCTCTCCATTGTAGGTATGTACCTCCATTTGAATCATCTATCACACTGCACAGCAAATCACTTTTCATCTACCATCTTCCTTTTGAGATTAGTAGGTTTATAACCATGCATATAGTTTTAATGTATCTTTTAGGGGGGAAACATTTTAATGATTTTGGTCCATTCAACCAGTTCTTAATGTAATTGACCAACCCGAGGATATAAAATACAACTTGTACTCATTATGAAAGTTCATTGATAGTTACAAAATTAAACTCTTTGTCCTATTCGATCATATATATCTAATAGTTTAATATATGTAATGGTAAAAAATGAAAATTAATTGAGGAGTGCAATTTACATTATTATGTTATTATATATGTTTGTGATTTGAATAAGGCTTGTATTGCACATATTCTAACGTTTTCCCTGTTATAATTGTTACTCTAACTTTATAATTCTTATAATTATCATCATTTTATCATTATTTTCAATAATTTTTAAAAATATATTTTTCATTCTCAACATTACTATTATTACTTATTCTTGTTTTCATTGAAAAGATTATTGTTGTTTTATTTCAAATTGGTTATATATGAAACTTTATATATAATATACAAGGTACTAAATTAGAACCTCCAACAGATTAATATACAGGAAAAAAATGAAAAAAGTCGTCCAAAAGAGTTCTAAACTATTCGGTCAATTGGCCCATCTTCTTTTTCCAAAAGGCAGCTCAAACTTTGTCAAAAGTTAGGCCCAAAACATAGAAGCCCTTTAGAATTAGAATATATTAGATTTATCAAAACAAAACCTCCTTAAACCTACTTCTCATCAGCCGCTACACTCCATCTCACTCTTTGTCTTCTTTGAAAATATATCCACCCCTATCTCTCTATTGACAGGACTATGCATGATTATTTTTATGCAGAAATGCATTCCTATAATACCCTATCTTTCTTTTTGAACTGTCCAATCAAGAAAAGATGACAATGACTTTTTTTTGAGATTTCGTTTCTCTAATCTTAAGAATTTATTTTCAAATATTGGAATAAATTTTATTCAAAATTCAAATAGATACTTTCGATTTCCGCTCAAGGAACTCTAACCCTAAGTTTGTCTTTTAAATACTTGAGTTTGATTTCATTTTGACATGTTCTGATATGCTCAAATAGTATCATAAATATCTTAAATTTGATTTCTTATCACATCATCATTAAACTACTACTTTAAGCTTTTATTTCTTTATAATTCTTCATTTTATTTTTGTTGGATTGTGTCTATATAAAATACATTTAAATTTATTATGGTTCGATATATGTTCTTGATGATATAAATCCGAATCTTTGCTGGTACTGCCTAGTTCACTGCCAAGAAAAAAGGTTAGATTTATTATGAATTCTTAAATTTTTGTAGAAATCTATCTGAAGTAAGAAGCTACTGGATCTGTGAGAATTTAGGAGCTATGGGATTTGTTAGCTAATACTACGTTATAAACTCTTATAATATTTGTATATATCGGTTCTACTTTTATTAAAAACACATGTAAATTTTATTGAGACATTTAATTAAATAAGATAATAGACTTTTTTATGTTGCGCCTTTTTTAAATGCCGGTGGAAATCCCTAATGCATACAAATTATTTTTTTTTGTCCTCGTGTTGATTTATCAGAACAAGAGTTTGATGAATGGAGTTTTCACCCCTAGAATGATAGATCAAAATAATATGCATGATATTAAACCTGCAAACCTACAAAAACAACTAGTAGATTAAGAGGAATTCACTGTGTTGTGTGGTAGATGTTTCAAATCAGTATACGTACCTTCAAAGGTGATATATGAAAAGATAAGGATACAGATGCTGGAACATCCCTTTTATTGTGAAGAAACTCTTGAGTGGCATGCTAATATATCATCTAATGATACACATGATGTCATTCAACTTGAAAGCTAATTGTGGAATCTAGGCTTATACAAAGCCCACATTGTTCTTTCATTTTGAGTGATATCATGTGTATCGTCCAATCTTATATAGATGTATCATGAGAGCCTTCATATAAGAAGGGATGTTCCAAAATATGTGCTGTTATTTTTTCATGCCTCTCCATTGTACGTATGTACATGCATTTGAATCATCTATCACACTGCACAACAAATTCCTTTTCATCTACCATCTTCCTTTTGAGATTGTAGGCTTATAACCATGCATATAGTTTTTATGTATATTTCTGGGGGGAAACATTTTAATGATTTTGCTCCAATCAACCAGCTTTTAATGTAATTGACCAACCGGAGGACATAAAATACAACTTGTATTCATTATGAAAGTTTAACGATAGTTACAAAATTAAAATCTTTATCGTATTCGATCATTTATTTCTAAAAGTTTGATATGTGTAATGGTAAAAAAATAAAATTAATTGAGGAGTGCAATTTACAT